TTAAAAGGCCTGGGCTGTGGTTTTTAACTTCTATTTCCTACTAAGAGAACCAAGATGCTGCAGAAAAGTCTCATTAATGATGTAGGCTAGGAAAAGTACACAATAGGATGAAGAAAGAAGTTGTAGGAGTAGAAGGAGATGTCACAAGCGCACAGGAGCAACCTTGAAAACATGCTCACGGACCAAGATGCAGAAAAATATGACCAATCAGAAGAAAAATGTCTGCCATCATTGAGACATAAAAAACATGAAAAATCCAGGCACTTATGATGATTCTCAAACGCATACAAAACCCTCCACTGGGCCACTCTAGAGAATGCCTGGAAACAAGTTTATTGCTTCATCTCTGCCCATGTATTTATGCTTTTTCTTCTGTAGAAACTGTCTTGGGTAATAGTTGATCAGTAAGTGTTTTTCCTTATGGAAGTGACTTAGTTAATAAAAATGGAGGATAAAGGCAAGACATCACCATTTTCCAGGCTATAACAAATTTAGTTAATTAACAATGCCTAGTAACACCAGAGACAGCCACTAATGAAGGGCGTCCTGAAACAATGCACCATATCACTCTAACGTAGTATCCTTGGCAACAAAAGTATTTGTGTGTGCATGTGTAAATGTACATATTTTAAACCTAAATAAGAATACTCTAGATGCAGTGACCAATCTGTAGATGAGCAAATTAAATGACAATATTCAGACTACAGGAAACTATAGGATGATCCCATTTTTCAACAAATAATGTGCCAGGAGGAAAAAAGACACACAGATAGGAAACTTTTATGAACAGGGGACATATCAATCAATGGCAATTCATGAACTTCACTTAAATAATGAATCATGAAACTACATGCAGGGGCTGGAGATTTAGCTCAGCGGCATACGCGCCTGCCTTGCAAGCAGGCAGTTGTGAGTTCGATCCCTGGTACCTATAAAAACGAAAAAGACAAAAAAAAAAAAAAAAGAAAAGAAAAGAAAACTACATGCAAATATGTACATGAACATAAATACACACAGGCTATACATATGCATGCTGTATATCTATGCATCTGTTTGAACACACGTTTGTGTATTTATGGCTATACCTAAGACAGATGATTGGGGAAATATGAACTAAAGCATCGGATATTTAGAAAAGTTTGATTTTTAGATAAGATAAAGATACTGTTTAGAGAAAAAGGGTTTCTTGTCTTCTGGAGAAATATACTGAACTATTTTTAGGGGATTTGGTACCATGTATGGAGTTTGCTTCAGAATTAAGCAGGGAAGAGCTGACTGACAGTGAATTGGGTTGGACTAGATTGGGTGACAGGTACACAAGAACGCGCTGTAACCATCTACCTCACTGTAGGCAGCACCAAAATTTTCTGTACTAAAGATAAAAGAAATATAAACACAAAAATCAAACAATTAAATGGCTAATATTAGCCAGTGGTGACACTGGTATTATCAAACCACACAGTCCAGCTTAGCAGTCCCCCAGGAGCCTCTGAGAGGCTTTGTAAAACACAGTTTGTGAACTACCACCAAAATTGTTTCTTTTCTTTTTGTTTTTTGAGACAGGGTCTCACTATGTAGTTCAGGCTGGTCTTGAACTCAATGAATAGCCCAGAGTGGCCTCAAATTCAGCGACCCTCCCACCTCAGCCTCTCACACAGACAGAATCACAGGCATGTACCATGCCCAGCCCCTTCCACCATATTAATGAACACCAAAGACTAAACAAGTCATGTCATGTCCCCAGGTTGACAGGATAGAAAAAGAGGCTGAAAACCGCTGTGTAAACAACTGGAGAGTAAGGAATGTGCATTCTTCACCCAATATTTATCTCAGGTGTTACTCCAGTGTTTGGTGAATTAATGAGTGACCCTGGAGGTGCAAACAAATAGCAGACTTAAAGCAGCTAATGCTAATCGCTACATATAAAGTAAAAATCATCACTCATATTTGATAAAAAGAATATGTTACAGGTGAGTTTAAAGAGCATGGCTCTGTTTTCGGGTGGAACAGGTTTCTTTCACATAGCCACAAATTAGTCACTTCTAATAGCTAAAAGTAAACACTTGGAATAAAAATAGTTTTAAACACACAGTTGGGTGGAGTGGCCAGCAAATATTCTGATTCTACAATCTGTTCTGTTCAGGACAGTGCTTCTTATGTGACTTAACAAAACAAACAGCAGTCAGATTCCACGAGCTGAAATAGTACACTATTTGCCAAGAGGCCGGAGTGGCCAAGAGTTACCAATAAAGACACCACATTTTTCACAGCTAAACGGGGTACAGAATGACTAACACCCACATATGTTTACCTGGCCCCAAAGAAGGGATATGACCACCAAGTATGGATTTTTTTTTCTTTTTTGTTTCTAAAGTATAAATAGAGCCAAGTCTACTGCCTAACCATGGGCAACAGCAGAACACCTGAAGCACAGGAATAATCTAATTTTGGGCTGGGGCTTTAACTCAGTGGCATAAGCACCTGCCTGGCAAGCGTGAGGTCATAAGTTTGATCCCTGGGACCAATAAATTAGTAAATAAAAATAAAAATCTAATTTTAAGGTTAGGAGGAGCTTAGAAACCATCCTGTCCAAATTATACATTCTGCTTATAAAAAAAAGAAACAACCTTCTCCCTTATGATAGGTAACTCTGAAACAGGGTACTCAGGTACAAAGTTCTTGTACTGAGAGCGAAAAAGTCTTCAAGTTGACAGGAATGATATCTTACAGAGTAACAGTATCAGTCTCAGTTATAAATGTGTGTGTCTGTAAACGTCCGTACCCACAAAAATGTATTTATGTATTTCTGATAATTCCTTCCAAAACATATTTGTCCTAGATTTGAAGAACCTAAATTACTTTTTCAAAATTTTGTCCAAATGATCCATAAGCAAATGGAAGGCAGCTCTTTCCTTAGCTTACGTTTTCAGTCTCTCACAGAGGCAGTAAAGTTTGTACTGTAATTACAAAAGCTATTCTTATATATTATTTCCAAATGGTAAAAGAATAATTACAATACAAACTGATTTTCCTGATAATGTGAACTGATATTTAAGCTGCATTTCTTGAGTATTTCAGACAGACATAACTGACAATGCAGATTTTCATGTATGTCAATTAATAAAATATTCCAGTGAGATGGGCAGTGAGTTCTTCATTTACATTACAAGATGCTGTACAAGGTGTTGCTGAAATATACACAGAAAACTCCCTGGAGCAGAGGGATAGGGAAAAGAAAAGAAAAAACCCAAAACCATTATTTCATTTCTGATAAGCATTCCATTATTTTAATTACTTCTCAGTCCTGAGCATATCAGCTTAATTCTAGGGCTATACCAAAAGTGATGTGTGTTTACTGTATGTGGAATTTCTTCAAACAACTTTTTGACACCATAAAAAAGGAAACTACCGAGACTGACAATAGTAATGTTTATTTCCCCCTTCGGGAATTAAAATGTTTTTAGCTGAGATGATTCAAGCTCCCTAATGAAAACTGGAATGTAAGTCAGCAGTTCTTTTCAAAAAGATGAAAGCAAAGTTTGAGGAAACTTTTTCTTCTAAAGGGGATACAGAAACCTTATATAAATAAACATAATATAAGATTATTAAGTGAAAGGTGCTTCAAACTCTACCCCAACTCTCAGTTTGGTAGTCCAAATTCAAGCAAGAAAATCTAAAGGGCTACAATCAGTGTAGTGTTGTGAACAAAGAATCTAAATCTTCCAGAGAGTTTTTGCTGCTAACTCTATCAAATTCAAGACATTTCCTATTTTTCTAAAAAAGTACAAATACTCAAATGCAAAAACTTGAAATATTTAATGTTATGTTAAATTTCTTTTATTAACCTCTGAAGGCTTACATTAAAATTCTGAAATGCGAAACACCGTACCTGCATTTCACCACTTTGTTTCTTCCCCTTAAGAACAAAATTTAAGTGCGAATTGAGAAAAACTATTTTCATAAAAATTTAGGAACGTTGAAGGAAACACTGACAGGTTCATGTATTAACTGAAGAAGTCAGACGGCTTAAATTCACATCCCTCCCAAAAAATTCTTTCCCTATTTTTTACCAAGTATTTTCAACCGAATAACACAATAGTGCACTTTTTCAAAAATAAAAGGGTGAACCATCATTTCACCTTGAACCAACATTGGCATAATAACATCTAAAATTTAGAGTAACTTCTAAAATAAAAATATGGTGTACGGTTAAAACTATTAATATATATTAAGACAATTTTTTTTTCATTGAGAAACTAGGAAACCGAGAGCCCTGCCTGGTTTTGTAAGCCTGCCCAATGGAACCTTCCACCATAATTAGTTCTTCCAACCTTAGAGGGGAGGGGCTTAACTCAGGATAACCTCAGGCAGGAAGAGAAAACAGTATAAAAGCCTCAGGGCAGCTCTGAACAGGGCACCTCCTGCACTGCTCATCTGGGCCAGGAGGCCCTGCACAACTGCCAAGGCCAACCTCCAGGAGCTCCTGGCACCCACGTAAGTCTATGTCAACAGGAGTCAACCGTAAACCTCCGCGTGTTAGGTGTGCTTGGAATGAGTTTCAATACATAACTACTTGAAATTCTGTACATAATTTTTATAAGCTGCTTTCCACAACGATGTCTAGGAAAGGTTTATTTGTACCAGTCTACATGAGGTAATTCAAATTTGGTATAATTTAATGTTAGTGCACCTTAATGCTACTACAGACACTTTGGGCTATGTCACATATCCTCAATTACTTAATGCAAGCATCCAATGATGATTTCACTTTGCTTGTTTACATATTACTTTAGTTTTACTTGATTCTTTGAATGGGGCTTCCAAAAGTAAGACCTATATTCACATAAATAACAATCTCAATAATTTGTGAAATATATTCTAAATACAAAGGACTGCCTAAAAATGTTGACAGTTGTAGGAAGAGTTATCACCTGTGTAGCACTTGAAAAAATACATCTCAATAACGAAACTGAGTGAAATAATTCCTTTCTGTTTTTCAGAGTGGACCTGAGAATATGCTGCCACAAGTAGCCCTTTGGCTGCTCCTGCCCTTGATCCTGGTTCACGGACACTTCTATGCTGAGCAACAGCAAACCCCTGCAGGTGTGAAAGGCCCGCTGCCCAACGCTGAGACCCGGATCTTCATCCCCTACACTGTACGGAGTAAAGGTAACACAGCTGCGTGGTCTGCTCTAAACCAGATGGTTGGTGCTTTCTACAGTCTCAGCCATGATGAGCTCTTTAACAAGATGCTTTCAATTCCGGGGTTAATCTATTCTCAAATAATTCCTAAATTAGCTCAAATCTTTACAACAAAACAATTTGTGGCAGGTCAATGTATACTAGTAATATCCCTTGTACTATACATGTCAAAGGAAAACATAACTGAAGAATACTAAGTATTTTTATGTGTGGAGACTCCTTGCTCTTAAATGATACTTCTGCACAAATAATTAAACTAACTAAACATAACTAACTAAACATAATCTGGAAATATTTTTCCAATTGAAATTCATCAACTTTAAAATTTTAATTAAAATAATTATATATGGAAGGTTTATACATCAAAATGCTTAAACATTTATTTTAAATCTCATTCAACTGGTCTAAAAACATACACAAAACTGAGTCTTCAATAAAACTTGATGTCCTTCCTCAATAAATCAAGAGGCAAACGAAGTAGCAATTCTCACAGTTACTTGTTCCTTCTTACACAGTTTGGTGGTGTAATGCAGACTTAACTGGCACCAATTAACTACGTGACCACATGCAAGATTTTTTTCTCCCTGGGCCTTGGTTTCTTCAGTTTTAAAATGAGGAACAGCTAGCCATCTGAAAGGCCTACGAGCCTGTCAAATGCTTTATGTTTGCTATTACCATACTCCTGGCACACTGCTTCTACTTCTATTCTTTTACTACTGCTCTACTGGTGCAGCACAGACCGTCCTTTTGAATCTACTTCTTATTTGGCTTGCCCTGCTACATTGAAGAAAATTTTGAAATTGTATGAAAAATACTAGAAGCCTCAGAGAAAGGCAAGTGCTAGGTCTTATCTTCACTAAGTCCATTTACAAACTGCCAATCAAACATCTACTGAATAATATACACTGGCAGCAGGCTTTACGTTTCCTTGCCATAATACTTTTCCTTTTAGTTATATATTTGATCCCACAAATAAAGCTGAAGACACTTGTCATAAATTTTAAACAATATGCTTTTGGGACGACTCATTCTGAGTAAACTAAATTTATAAAACTACCTTTTGAAGAAGAAGCAGCTTAAAACATTTTCTGAAAGGTACCTTAATATTTAAAGATAAAAGCACAGTTGTATAGCAGATACTCTTGATTGTCTCAAAATTTAGTTGCATGCAAAATGACAAAGATCATTCTGTCACCGGAGCTGCAGGCTCAAATGGTACCCAGTGCCATCAGCTTTGGTAAGACTTGTTTTTCACTCTCTCACAGGTGTCCAGTCACACTAAGACAGCTTATTAAATGTGGTCTTAATATAAACTGTGCAAGAAGATACTGTATAAAAATTGTGCACATCTTGTTATCTTTGCTAAGTATTAAAGAATTTCCCTGACAGAAAGTATTTTTATGTGGCTGGGCATGGTTATATATGCCTGGAATCCCAGTGCTTTGGAAGGCTGAGGCAGGAGGATCTAAGTTTAAGTGCCATCGCTTACCTAGACTTTGTCTCAAAATAAAAAATAAAAACAGAGGCTGGGAATGAAGCTCAGTGTAAAGGCCCTGGGCTCATTTCCCAGTACCACTGAACAATGGTTACTGCTGAAAGACTGCGATGGTGACCAATCCTCCCCTCAGGGTTGACAGTAACGCCTTCAGTGCCCTGTCATCCCCCATTTCTAAATGACACCTCAGACCAAGCACACGCTCACCGCCCTTTCCAGTGACAGAAGCCCCAGAAGACCCGGCCTGTGCCCTCGCCCTGAGCACCTCCCGCATCACAGGGTTACAAACCTCCAGGAGAAGGCTTTTGGTCAAAAGATTTCACACTTTTATAAAACCTAATATTCTGATTAGTTTGCACTTAGGTAAGTGCTTAAATACTACTTTGTGAACTTCATTCATTATGTCTAATTTTGATTATTTCAATTTCAAATAAATAAAGAAGAGAATAAAAACACAGAATATAATGATGTAGAAAAAGCAGTCTAAATCTAAAACGTTCAGCAGGGCATGGAAGATGAACATTTGAATGAACTCCACTTCTCAAGTCTCACAGGAGAGGCCTTGAGAGAGAACACCGTTATACTTCTGAAATAATTTTTTCACTTATTCACCCACTGCCACTTTCTCCTCTTCCTGTCAGTTCTGTCAAATATCTTTCTCCTTTCTAATATGACATCCTTAAAATGAGTGTGGTAACTTTGCCTCTACTGCACTCTCATGCTAGAGGAGTTCTTCACTGTCATCTGGTTCTCATGGTTCACAAGGACGCGATGAAGTATTATGGAATGGATTTGGGAAAAAAATCTTCTCTAAGAGCATGTTTAAAGATGCCAAGGGCCAGGGATTTAGCTCCACAGCAAAAGTGCCTGCCTGCCAAGCACCAGTTCGATCCTGGTACCCCCTCAAAAAAGTGAGGGGGGGCGGGAGGAATGCCACAGAGATCATGGGATGTCTGCAGGCTGGTGCATAGGCTGTCCGGGATGACTGGCCCCGCAGTGCCCTGTGCTGACTTGGACTGAGAAGCATCCGGTATCTTCAACGACACTAACCATCCCCTTCTCTGCGTGGGCACACTGGCATGTCTTTCAGGTATAGCAGTAAGAGGAGAGCAAGGTGTCCCTGGCCCACCAGGCCCTGCTGGACCTCGAGGACACCCAGGTCCTTCTGGGCCACCAGGAAAACCAGGCTATGGAAGCCCTGGACTACAAGGAGAGCCAGGATTGCCAGGACCACCAGGACCATCAGGCATTGGGAAACCAGGTGTGCCAGGACATCCAGGAAAGCCAGGGGAGAGAGGACCACATGGACCAAAAGGTGATGTTGGCCCAGCTGGTTTACCTGGACCACGGGGCCCACCAGGGCCACCTGGAATCCCTGGCCCAGCTGGAATTTCTGTGTCAGGAAAACCAGGCCAACAAGGACCAGCAGGTGCCCCAGGACCCAGGGGCTTTCCTGGTGAAAAGGGTATAGCAGGAGCCCCCGGTGTGAATGGACAAAAAGGAGAAGCAGGATATGGTATTCCTGGCCGTCCTGGTGACAGGGGTCTCCCAGGCCCTCAGGGTCCCATGGGACCACCTGGCCCTCCTGGGGTGGGAAAAACAGGTGAAAATGGGTTTCCAGGACAGCCAGGCATCAAAGGTGATCGAGGTTTACCAGGAGAAAGGGGACCAGCGGGCCTTCCAGGTCCCCAGGGTCCTCCTGGTAGACAAGGGCCAGAAGGTGTTGGAAAGCCAGGAGCCCCTGGAGCCCCTGGCCAGCCTGGGATTCCAGGAACAAAAGGCCAACCTGGGATTCCAGGAATGGCTGGACCCCCTGGGGCTCCTGGTTTTGGGAAACCAGGCTTGCCAGGTCTAAAGGGACAGAGAGGACCTGCTGGACTTCCAGGGAGTCCAGGTACCAAAGGGGAACAAGGGCCGGCAGGTCATCCTGGGGAGCCAGGTCTCCCGGGATCCCCTGGAAGTGTGGGACCCCAAGGACCAAAAGGTATCGCAGGCAACCACGGCATGCCAGGTCCTAAAGGGGAAACAGGGTCAGTGGGGCCTGCAGGCCATCCTGGGGCTCGGGGAGCAAGGGGTCCTCCTGGGTCAGATGGAAAACCAGGGTACCCAGGACAGCCAGGTCTCCATGGGCCTAAGGGTAACCCAGGGTTACCAGGCCCAAAAGGGGACCCTGGAATGGGAGGACCTCCTGGTCTCCCAGGCCCCAGAGGCCTCACAGGAAATAAGGGACTGCCGGGACAAGATGGTGAATCTGGCCCAAGAGGTGTCCCTGGCATACCAGGTACCAGGGGTCCCATCGGGCCGCCAGGTATTCCAGGATTTCCTGGGTCTAAAGGTGATCCTGGAAATCCAGGTCCTCCCGGGCCAGCTGGCATAGCAACTAAAGGCCTTAATGGACCGACTGGACCACCAGGACTCCCAGGTCCAAGGGGTCACAATGGAAAGCCTGGTCTCCCAGGGCCCCCCGGCCCTCCGGGACCCCCAGGCCAGGCAGTCATGCCTGACGGCTTTGTCAAATCAGGCCAAAGGCCGGGTCTTTCAGGGGTGCCTCTCATCAGTGCCAACCAGGGAGTGTCAGGCATTCCTGTGTCTGGTTTTACTGTCATCCTTTCCAGGGCTTACCCAGCAGTAGGTGCTCCCATCCCATTTGACAAGATTCTGTATAACAGGCAAGAGCATTATGACCCACAAACTGGGATCTTCACCTGCAGAGTCCCAGGGGTATACTACTTTTCCTATCATGTGCATGTGAAAGGCACACATGTCTGGGTAGGCCTGTACAAGAATGGCACCCCCATAATGTATACCTACGATGAGTACTCCAGGGGATACCTGGACCAGGCTTCGGGGAGTGCCATAGTAGACCTCACGGAGAGCGACCAGGTGTGGCTCCAGCTGCCCAACACTGAGTCCAGTGGCCTCTACTCCTCAGAGTATGTCCACTCCTCCTTCTCAGGGTTCCTGGTGGCTCCCATGTGAACATTTTCCCACCAGCTAACCTAAATCTCCTGTTTCAAATGTCATTTCCAAGCTCCACCCCACCCCACAAAATGCATATGGAGGTGAGCTGAAAATGTTTAAACATCTCATCAAAAAAGTTCTACTAAAGTTAAAACAAAATCACAAAAAAAAACCCAGAATTCGAAACTGTTAAAATTTAATTTCAGAAACTCAGCATTTCCTTTTAAAGTAAGCCTTATTCTAATAATTAGTATGAGAATCTTTAGGAAACACCGAGGAGGTAACACACAGCTTTGTAGAACTTAAATACTTGAATATCTGCACTTAAGAAAACATATGTGCCCCAAGTTACTTGTAACGGTGCATTAGTCTATGGCCCATACGGCTCCTTTTATCAAGACTGAGTCAAACACACAGGTGCATACGTACTCTTTGAAGCTCTCAGAAGGAACCAGAACACTGTTAAAATTAATCTGAAATGCCTGGTGCTTTAAGTAAGGATCTTTTCAAATTTTTCTGTGATTGCAGAAAATCCTTCCATAGACACAGCACAACTCAGAAATAGGTGTCTGATATTTATTTAATACAAATGTGATTAATTTGATTTAACTCCTTACTGAATCTTATGCAACATTCTATGGGTTTAGGAACATTAGCATATACACCTTATGCTTCCCATCCTAGTGAAATTATAACTGGTATTAAGGATTTCAAAATATGACTATAAATGAAAAGATATTTATTTATGCTCTGTACTGTATTTGTATGTTACTGTTTAAAACTTTTAAACTGTGCCTCACTTATTAAAGCATGAAATGTTTAATCTACTCCTTATTTACAAAGCAATAAAATAACATCAACAGATTTTTATACTGAATTTACTTGACAGCTGTAATCTGCTGTTCTCAATCACACATGTAGGGCATTTCATTTTTGGGAGTTAAGGAGGACAAAACCATAACGTAGCACTGGCTTCTATAGCTGTTGTGGGTGCTGTGATGGCATTCCACACGGCCGGTCCACAGTGCAGACCAAAAGGAAGTCCCCACAAGCCACGGTGGCTTAAGAACTGGGTCAAGGGCGGAAAAGCAGGTACAGAAAAGTGAGACAACTACGCGACAAGATGGAGGGCATCAAGTGGCAGAGAAATCTGTAACTTGAACAAATATTCTAGTTACTATTTATGGCTTTAGCATTTTTTAGTTATTGTATTTAAAATTATTTTGATGGCCTGATTTACATGAAGAAGTCAAGCAATATTTTAGTATGAATCAAAAAGTAACATGTTTCAAAGTTGAAAAATACTGCTCGAGTATTTATTAGCCAACTAGCTGGATGCAGCTAGTGTGAGTAGAGTGCCCGAGCTTACATGCTATAAAGACATCTTCCTTGTTTCTGGGAACTTGCCTTTGTGTAGCCCAAGCAACCTGAGAAGGAAAATCTAAAAGCTAGGCTCCGACCCCATTCTGGGTACCCCTCCAGTGCCTCAGCAGCAAGACTGACATTTCCACCAGCAGCCGCTGGGCCCCCCGCCTACGGCTGCCACCCTGAGGGTTTCAGACATCACCAACTCTCCCTCCCAAGCCAGAACACAGCAAAACTGGAGTTTTCGGTTTCAGGGAGCCCACAGCACACAACACCATTGGCAGACATGGAAGTGACATTTTAATAGCACAGCAAGAAATACTAGCAATGATGACCATGAAACAGACACAAATAAAAGAATCTCTTGAAATATAAGCAGAACTAACTTTATAGCAATATGTAAGAGCAAATTAAATCTTAAGTAAGGAGCACATAAAAGACACAACTTTGACCTAATTTAGTAGACACAGCATTTAACAGACATCCATTAGGAAGCCTCTCCATGTTACTCACCCTTAAAAGCTGACATTTTAAAATTGTGTTGGATGCCAGCAACTATATCCTTCCAAAAATCAAATGTTTTTTGACCACTGTTCTGCTAAAAAAAAAAAGTCCAAATGTAACAAATGAAGTAATTTTGAGGCTAAGCATAGTGGAAAATGCTGACAATTATGGCATTACCGAATAACATTTACATTTTAGAAAAAGTAATAGATTTATAAAGTTCTCACTCCAGTCAATATGATTTTAGAGGAATCTGGCATAAAAACGCTACTACTATATATACACACACATATATACACATGCAAATACGTATCACTGTTAATAGCTCTTACCGCCCAAATAAAATTAAAATTCCCACTCATTAGTAAGTCTGCGAGTTACAGAAGACTTCACACACACAGGTGAAGTCATAATGTCATACAGTTTATGAAGTCTCTGACACATTACTTTTTTTTTTTGTCTTTTTCGTTTTTATCGGTACCAGGGATTGAACTCACGACTGCCTGCTTGCAAGGCAGGTGCTTATGCCGCTGAGCTAAATCCCCAGCCCCTATGACACATTACTTAACGTACTGTTACTGATGCAGCCAAGAAGCCTTAACGCTCTAAAGCCTTAAGTGCTGGTTATTTTAGAAGTCAGTGCCCACTGAACCTGAATTTCCACATAGAAGAGTAGCACAGGAGGGATGAATGAGGTTCCAAACCCAAAATCTACATCATTTCTATGAAGACTGTTTCATACTACAAAATAAACAAACATTACACTAAAAGGTACAGTTCTATGGTTCTTTGCTTCCTTGGAAACATGACCATGGTCCTCCAACTCAACAAAGACTCCTGGATATTTGTGGGACATCACGTAAAGTACTGAACACTTCAAGATGCACCTTGGACTATAGGTGTGGGTCAGCAGAAGAGCACCTGTCTACAACGTGTGAGGCCTTGGGTCTGAACCAACGCCTCAAAAGAAAAACAAAAGACTGATACATTTTGTTTGTAGTAATGATGAGACGTTGATTCCATTTCATGTTAATAAAGATGTATAAAATACATCAAAAGTACTGTTTAACAGAAATGTTCGCAAACATGTGGCTATAATTCCAGTTAAAAAGCCATTTATATACACAATTGTGATTTTAAAAGGTAACATATGCAAAAGGGAAAGTGATTCTGACATGTAAACTGATTTCTATTTATAGGTCTGAAGCTTTAAGTACAAATTGCCAAAACTAGAGATCTATTTCATCTTGCTACATAACACAAAACAGAAGTTTATACACTTTAAATTGCTTTAAAAGATGAATTAAAAAATTTCACCTCACTTGGCTGGTTTTATATTATTCACAACACTTAGAGATACATTGAATATGACCACTTTTACTGCAGTTTTATTCTACTAACAAAACCAAAAAAATATTTGTCCACATCAGTTCTGTGTTTTCTTTTGCTAGACTTCTTGCAGGTTTATTTTTGGAGAGAGGGTGGTCATTGCTATTTAATTTTCTAAAACTATTTTGACCAAATCCACCACGTTTTTCTTCCTCATTCATCTCTGAAACCACACAAAGGTGGTTTCACCTCTGAAACCACTTTATTTAATTAAATAAAGTCTCTGCTCAGAATTATATACAATTAAGTCCTTCTACTTATGACTAGATACATACAGTTTTTAGAAGCACTAAGGCCCACTTACCTTGGTCAAAGAATCCACCACCCTGGCACACAAGAGAGCTCCTGGCAGGTCAAAATAGTTATCATAAAAATAGTATTTTCCTAAAAAAAAGACAGAATTTTAAAATTGGGAACCATTTTCATGTCTCATGCCAGTGGAATACACAGAAACTTGCCTGAAGAGACAATGGTTTCTGGCTGATTTATTTGAAGGCCTCTATTCCAATTCAAAATGGCTGCAGTAGAGAACATCATTGCCTTTCAAAGAGTACATGAGCTCTGAGGACACTCATATGGCACTGTTAAGTGGAGCACTTTATTAAAAGTATTTAAGTTGTCATCGTTGGTCACTCCAGAAATGCAAATTAACACAACACTGAGATTCCATCTCACTCCAGAAAGAATGGCTATTAACAAAACATTAACCAATAACAAATGCTGGTGGGACCATTTTTTTATATAATGGGGTACTACTCAGCCATAAAGAAGGATAAACTTGAAACTTTTATAGGTAAATAGTTGCAACTTGAGACTACACTTGTAAGTGAAATAAATCAGACTCACATGTGCAAACATCATATTGTCTCCCTGATGCAAGAAACTGAATGAGGAAATAAGATCCAAAATGTACAGTACACATTGTGAACTTGGAATAAACTGTTCAAAAGAAGAGAAACTGATGGGGGAAAGGGGAAAGGAAGGAAAGGAAAAATATTTGTACACAAGATAGTCAACATAGTTGTTTCTCTTAGTTCACTGAAAAGGTACCATTTGGATAATATTTCCTGCCTGTACCTTGTACTCTGGGTAACCACTAAGAAGATAATAATACATAATGCATTAATTATTGTTACTTTCCCAATAACCTGATTTGAAATTCTATTTTAATTTTATTTCTACTTTTTCTTTTTAAAATTAAAAAAAAAAATTAGGTTGCTTTAAAAACATAAAAGCTAAAAACACAACACACCCCAAACACAAAACACAGTATCAGAAGTGCCAATTTATGTTATCAACGTTACTGAATTCAAAACCGTCAGGTGACCCTGGTGCCCCACAGCTCCCTGCACATGAGCAGGCTTTCCGTGCCCTGCCTCTCGGACTGCCGGGACACCTCATTTCAGACACAGTGCAGCACAGAGGGTGCTGAGGAATAAAAAGCAAACCGCACGAATACTTCTGTGTGGCCGAGTGGGATTCAACCCAGGCCCTTCCCCGGCTTACACCCAGGTCCAGGTCTGCAGCCTCGGAGGGCTGTGCGACATCCCCAAGCCAGTGAAGGATTTCAGCCGCAGTGTAGCACAGCATCAACCTATCTCAGACTTCTGAGTTGGGTGCTGCCATGCAAAGGCCCTGGAGCCACACAGCCCAGGGGCCAACCCCAACTAATGGAGGAGGAGCCACTGAACCAATTCAAAGCCTCCCGAGCGCCAGCCTGACAGCTCCAGGAGGCCCATTCTGCCTGTGCAGCCCCTCACCTGCTGTCCCTAAATTCTATAGCACATCAATTTTCTAACCAGGTGACTCTTAGATGTAAAAAGGTAAACTGGGCTGCAGAATCACAGAAGATTTCTTTCCTTTATATTTTTCAACATGAGAAATGTGGAAACATTTAAAAATGTATTACCTTTCCTTTATTATTTTGCAAAGCCACCACCCCTTTATTCTGTGCCACAGCCTCGCTCCCTGCTTGGGAAACACTTGCCTAACCAGCCCATAAGCTGAGATGGATGCAGCATCTCAGGGTAGGTGCCCCAGGGCGCTATGGAGTCAGGGGGTAACAGTGCTCCCTAGTGGTGACACAGGGAGCAACCGAGTGTGACCTCCAGGAGAATCCTGCTGCTTTTGGTAGCTGGGAAAGATCCAAGATTCTGAATGGATTTGGCACGAAATACTTCTGCGTTATCCCCATCCTGAGATACAGAAAAAGCTTATTTGTAACTGCTAAACTCTGAAGTGATAATAGCAGTCTCCCATCATTACATGAGTAACAAGAGTACGTACCCAACTTGACTCGAGATGTATAGAAGTATTCTCTAACTAATCCCAAAGGCGACGTTTTGATTTTTTTTATCAATTGATTTCATCAAGAGTACATACCCTTTCTTACATTTTCAACTCACTACAAAACCAAACCCTCAGAAGATGGGCAAATATAACAAACCAAGTAGTTACAATGGTAAAAATGAAAACCTTTCAACAAGGCCTGTTTAATTGTTTCATGTAAATTTATGGACATCCATGGCAATAATTTTTTTAAAAATCACTTTATATTGAGCCTTGGTGAAACTAGAAAAGAAAAAGAACTGATAATTTAAAATACAGGAAAATAGGATCGGGGATCTAACTCAGTAACAGAGTTTAATTCCCAGTTCCACCAAAAACAAAAGAAACTAAGGAGCTAGCATCTAATACACTGATGAGGAACACAGGCAGAGGATGGCTGAGATGCATTCTTTGTAGTGGGTACTCTTTCGTCCTCCAGAACAAATGCAGTTCAAAGGAGCATCAATAAAACCTTAAACAGAACAAGGTCAAATGCTGCTAACAGCATTTGAACCAGCTGCCCAATGGAAATTAGACATACCTAGGAAAAAACTGCATCTTACTGCAAGAAACAGAAGGTAATTCCTTCACGTGTACCCTCCAACAGAGAGGCCCGGAGGGCTTCTTTGTGTTCTCACATCGCAGGTTCAGGGTCCAAGCAAACAAAGCAGTGGACCCAGAGCCAGCTGTGCAAGTCGTACCTGGCTGGCTGGGCATGCCGGTGTCAGACACAAAGTACTTCCACTCCTTCGTCCCATACTCCTTGGCCAGCATGTCGGGAGGCATCATCTTGGTGCCACGACTTGCCCTGGTTTCGAGAGAGAGAAAGACACACTGCTTAGTAACAACTTCCCCTGTATGCTGAGCTAACAAACGCTTGCTTGCTTTTTTTTTCCCTCCTTTCTTTTGTTTGTTTTTTTCTTTCTTTTGATGTATTCAACTGGGAGACGTCCCTGTTTAAAAGTCTGTCCCTGTTTAAAAGTCTGTAAGTTTTCTATCAACAGCTCTAGCTTTTCCTCCATTCACCCACCCACAGGTGACTATGAGCCCATTCCTTGAGGTCAGTGCTATCTTAGCTACTTCTTGTTTCTAGAGAAGCCACCACTTAGGTAAAGGAGGAGATGAACATAGCTGAACACAGCGGGAAGCTGGTTCTTGCAGCAGTGACCAGAATTAGAGCATGAGCCACTGAGGGTCACACTAGGCAGGACAAGGTCTGTGGGGACAAGAGGGGACCACATGCCTACGCAAGGTCACCACAGCCAAAGCACCTTGGGAACTGACCAGGGGAATGCAGCACAGTAGCACAGGGAGAGCACATGGTTATTTTCTATGCTCAAACACTGCTTTTGTTTCAGTGGGCCTTGTTGAGAGAACCGTACCACATACAGAAACACTTCGTATTTTATGTAGTTTATTATGAGAAATCATAATGATAGGCAGCATCAACATTGTTTTCTCAATGTTACACTATGGTGGCAAAAGGGGAAAAAGTGGAATAAGACAAGCAAATTGAGGAAAGCCGCTTTTCTTCTTGCAGTGCTGAGCACTGAACTGAAAGCCGCTGCACTAATCTATATCCTCAGCCCTACAGCCCTAAGTCTGTCCCTCCCTCCCTCTCTTTTCTAAAATTTACCTTGTGACAGGATCTCATCAAGTCCCTACACTGCCCAGAAGGGGCCTGCACTTGTGGTCCTCCTGCCTCAGCCTCCCAGAGGGCTGGGACTATAGGCATGAGCCACCATGTCTAGACTAAATAGCTCCTTTATAATGAAGTGAATACTACAACTTCACATGGGAAATACGGTCAAACAAAGAATGCACAGTACCGTGCTGGAAAGATGGCACCAAGGAGATCAGCTATGCAGTTAGGAAAAACTGCTGGCTAGCCAGGGAGTGAATGGGCAAGGAGAGAACCCAGGGGAGAAGAAAACAGACAGACAGGTGTAAGAATGAGAAAATGATTAAAGATAGCCAAGAACAGCACGAGAGTTAACCTTGACTGTTAACTTGATTGGCTTGAGCAGTGTTTAGATTCAGGAAGCCAGTTTCTGGGTGTGTCTGAATGGATCCCAGGCATGAGACATTTGGGCACTGTATCTGATTCCTGGTGCCTGCCTCTATAGAGCTCTTTTCCTGCTCCTTGCTTCCTGATGCTGTGGGATAAACAGCTTTCCTCCCCCTTGATCCTCTGCTACAAGCCAGGAAGCAGCAGAGCATGAACTGAACCCTCAGAAATCAGAAACCAAGAATAAATGTCTCCTCCTTTAAATTGCAGGTGTCAAGTATTTTGTCCCAGCAATGAAAAGCTAGCTGTTACAAACATTGTGGCAATAGGACCACAGTTAAAGGTCACAGTCAAAGCTGCACATATTATCTTTAGATGTCTGAGGAAAAAAATAAAATAAATTGCAAAGCGTTCAGAGGTGCATCCACAGCTGCTCTAGCTGGACATACTGCAGGGGAAGGTCTAGAGGAAAGCCTGAGAGGAGTTTATACAGAAAGTCCCTGGCTTATGAGCATTTGCATATTGAGCCTTCACCAATACAAGCAAATACTGCATTATGAACATTTGTAGATGTGAAAAATCGCAGAAGTAGCTCACAAGTCTGATGACACCATCAGAACTGTGCTACTGTGTGCTTACTCAATGGTAGTACAGTACAGTCAGAAACATGCTGTATTTTTGTGTATGTCTGGTTTCTTACGCTTTACCTTGTATACTTCTGTCAAAGATGTATAAGACTCACTTTGTTGGTTTTACAAACAATTTGGACTTACAAACATTTTCCTGGAATGTAATTTGTTGGTAGATCAAAGACTTCCTATGCAATGCAAAAAAGACTGAAGTATCAAAAGAGAAGATAGTATATACCCGGGGAACCTGGGCCAAGTTTTCTCTTTTCCCTCTGACCATATCAGGAAAACTAACACATGGCACAGTGTCATCACTACACTAAAAAACCAATTCTCACTTTCTAGTGCTCTTTCTTCTCTGTTTTTACACCCTTCCAATACCTTGAGAGGGTCTGGCAGATACAGAAGGGCAGGAAAGAAAGTCAGTGCTGAACATGCAAAAGGGGAAGACTTGGTAAGGGTTGTGACCATCTAGAGAAACTTACAGAAGGAGCTGAGACACAATATAAGCCATGGGTGACAGATGCAAATGAGGATAAATGGAGGAAGGAGAGTGAGCAGACACAGACCACCAACCCCAAGCCAACAACCATTCTCTCCCTTCTCTATTAAAGAAAGCCACAGACCTAGTTTTGGGTGTACAGCTTCCGGGCTCCTTCAGTGAGCTGGAGCAAGCTGTTAACTTGCTCCTGTACTTCCTGCAGTTATTCTGAATGAACCAGACCTTTCCCTCCCAAGGTTCAGACCATCCTTCATCTGCTTCCCTGTAAGAATCCTATTTAACCTGTGTCTTAAGGATGGCATAATACACAGTAATAAAACCCTAGAGCAGGATGGCAAAGCTTTTAGAGAAGATGGCCCAAACTGCAACCCACGGCCCACAAATGAATCACTGAGTGCCAATACTGCAAGTAAACCTGAGCACTGAAGTTTTAGCTTAGGAAATCTACCCACACAGGCCTGGGGCTGCAGCACAATGGTACAGCACCCGACCAGGGTCACCCCCAGTACCACAAAACAACTTCTGTATTACCATCTCCTGTCTTAAAAGACACAAAAGCAAGCATGCCGTCAGAGGAAGTAAGACTTCACAAATATACTGCATTACCTGAGCACTGTGCCGTCATCTGCAAGTTTAATGAAAGTGCCGTCTTCCAGATCCAAAGCCAGACCCTTGCAACTGAAACAGAGAAGTCTGGGCATCAATCAATTCACAGGTATAAATAATTCAAGAAGCAATAATTCACAGTTTTCAAAAGTTACACTTGCAATACAGCCATCCCTCTACCCAGATGACTGTCACATTAGTTAAACAAAGGAAAATGTCCAAGAAGTATAAATACCTCCACAGAGAAGGATGTAAGGACTCTAATGTAGGCACAGGGCAGCATGTACAGACTGTAAGACAGTTAGGTTTTCACAAAGATGGACTTGGAGCCCAGAAGAGAAAGAAGCCCAAAGACAATTCTGTGTCTCTGTCAAAATCTGCAAATGTTTCCCACTGTCTCAAGCCCAGAAAATACAAACATACATGAATGCTTGCACACGCACACACATTTATATCCCACAAGGTAACTTTTTAGTCCAAGTATTTTCTACACCATTTAGAATTTGTCTCCATTAAGGTCTAGTTGTAAGCACTTGCCCTCAGGGCAAAGCAAATTATTGAAAACCACTAAAAGAAAATCAAATACTAAATTTTTAAGTTCTTCATTGTAAAAGACTTGAGGCACCTGAGAAAAGAGAGGGTGGATTCACACTATAAACAATAAAAGCAGAGGGTTTTCATGGCTCCTAAACATGAAGAAAATTAAACAAAAGTGACAAGGTAATTTAGAAGCACTATCTGCTTTTCTCGCAGTAAAATTTCCAGAGCGACTGGTTTCATATATGAGGTTGTTTCTACCTTTTATACGGGGAAGCTATCAAAGGACAAACCAAACAACAGAGGAATGTATAACAGATCAATATTATGTATTTTTCATGTGTTTTCAGTGTCACTGTTAATTTTACTTTGATTTATTTGTCTTTAAAAACTTGTCAAGAAGGCGTCTCACTGCATTACCCAGGCCAACCCCGTAACTTCTAAGCTAAGTAATCCTCCTGCCTCAGCCTCCAGGAGTATGCCACTATACTGTATCTCACTAAAATGAAAAATTTAAAGTAGTGGACATTTTTTTTACTGTTTAAATGAGGAAGAAAGAAAAAAAAGCTTTGGGAAGTTGAGAATTCAAAACTGGAAAGGAACTCAAGAATGTCTATCCAAATTATACAAAAACAGATGTTCCAAGTCAGATACTCAACATGTGATTATGATTTGCTTTATGGTTCTTTATTTGAAAAATAATAAAGCTAACTTTCTCTTGATAAAGATGTAAACTTTATTTTTTAACCACCGAAACTCTTAATTACGACAAATTTAAGCTATACAAAAAACCTGAATTAATCACATAAGCTTGTGGCTTATTTTCACAATTAAGTCTAAACTTGTTCAAAGTAGAAAACAAAAAATTTCAGGCATTTTGTCTTCTGACTCAATTTCACATTTCGCTTTTTACCTTCATGGAAGCAAAGGCATTAGAATTTTAACAGCAACAATTAAGAACCGCAAGAAATGTGGGACATTAAAAAGGAAGAAAAGAGCTTACCAAAAATCCCAGTCCTCTGGGGTCACAGTCAGCAATTCCTTATCATATCCTTTCTCCTTGACAAGAAACTGAGCAAAGCTGTTATAGATGAGCTGCAAACGGAAGTAGAGGCAGGGAAAGAGAGAGTAAATGTAAAATTCACTGTTCATTCTTAATTTCACAGACCTGAAAATGGCCAATAGGAAGAAAATATCTGTAATTGTGAAGCTCTGCTGTTTAATCCCTTTTCGCAAGCAATTTATCAACTCCTGTGCACTCCAGGTAATTCTCCTACCCTGAATTATACCATCAGTATATAATTATACCATCAAGGACAATTATGTATCTTGAATTCTAATAGATCTCAGATCATAAAGAGGCCCTGAAGAAGCTTTGGGAATATTTTACACTTTCCCATTCAATAAGCAAGTTTCTTACGAGCTTCACATCTGTCCCCGGTCCCCCTGCTGGAAAGGCCCCTCCCAGGGGAGTCTCGGAGAAATACACATGGGGAACCAGGAAGATGATCAAAAGGTGGATCATGAAGGCTGTATCAGATATGGGAAATATTTTCCCACAAAAAGAGAACTATTGAGGAAAAAGAACAAGGGAAGCTTTTGAAAGCAAATTGGCAAATCTTCTGATTTCTCAAAATAAAACATTAAGTTTTGAGTGAAATATCAGCTTTATTAAGAGCTGGTTTTAATTTTTAAAAAACAGTGGATATCAAACAAAAAGTGGACCAAAAAGTAGATGATGGTCCACACAGGTGCTACCTCCCCTGACCTCACAAGAGTGACTTAGGTCAGCATGAGACACCCTCAGACCTCAGGCAGGACAGTCTCCCGGGGTCAGTACTCAAAAGTACACACTGAACAGTTCAGCTTTCTACAGATGCTAACCTATGACAGGTTTTGACAGCACAGCACGTTATGAGGGGGAGAGGGCAGCACACACCTGAGAACTGGGGAGGCTTGGCTGGTGGGTGATTAAATGTTAACATTCACTTGGGACCTATAGCTGTGAGCTGGGAGAATCTGAAGAAAACGGAGAGGAATGCAGGTGCCTAACCTGAGGGGCCTGGACACAGCTGGTGCCAGGGGCTTGAGCTGCTAGGAAACAAGGGTAGGCAAAACAAAGTTCCTGTCAAGCAGAGCTGCTCTGTCCTAACCTAATGAAAACCACTAAGAGCCTCCTGCCATCCAGGCCAGTGGGGCTCCTAAGCCAGGCCAACCCTGAGACCCGCATCAGATCAGCACTACCTCTCAGCAGTTCTCATCCCTGGAGGCTTTTGAACACTAGCAATTCCAAACTACAACTGAGGGGGGACCCAAGTGGGACACCTGCGGATTTCCTGAACCCGGGAAGGTCTGAAAATTCTTGGCTTCTGTATTTTACAGATTTTCACTCAATCATTAAAAAACAAATGTACTGAGATACACTGACATACAAAGTACTGCGGGCAACAGAAAGTACATAATGTGATCCTTTCTGCTAGGACTGGTGCCGTGACGATCTGGAGGTAGAAGATTAGGGCATGGCCAGGAGGCTGAGCAATAAGGCGGGACCTGTCAATTGCAGAGACCTGGCAAAGAGGATGGATAATAAGGCACGACTTGTCAATCATGGAAAGCTGTCCAATCACAGAGCAGAACGCTTGACAAGCCTGGATCTGAGTCAGAGAAGGATAAAAAAGCTGGCAGCCACTGGGCCTCATCACTTCTAATTATTCCAGGGATTCATTCTCTATGCAGGGCATATTTTCTCTCTTTATTTCTTTCTCACTTTTGCTTTTTCCTTCTTTTGTCTTCAATAAATGAAACTTTTGTGTTTACTGCTTGTCTCTGGCTGATTGCTTGAATGGGACAAGACCCTGGAGCCAGTGGACACTTCCCTCTACAGGGTTAACAGAGGTTAAGTGTTTAGAGCACTGCCTGGCATACGGGCAAATCCAATTTAAGTAACTGCTATTATCATCTGCTATTATCAGTCAAGTGCTGCTCAAAATAACATCCTGACTCAGAGCATCTGCCCATTTCCACGGCATAAACCCTCCCAACTTCACCTTGTTTCAAGCTACCGGCATTTTCCCTGCTCACCTGGTTCGCAAACCAGTTGGCTTTCACTGGCCACCTACTGCACACCATTGGTCTCACCTATATGTAAGGCACTTTACTCTCCTGGACAAGTGAAGTTTCTCACCCCTTGCTGATTCCTCTAAGGCAGTGATGGCGAACCTTTCAGAGAAAGTGCCCAAACGGCTCATGATGTCACTGCCTGGTGCCCCCACTTCTTTCTGAGCAATTATGTGGCTCTGTGTGCACTTCTGTCTAACGCCTGGCTGCTGAGGTGATGCTGGGGCGAAGTGGCTTGCATGCCAACAGAGAGGTTCTGCGTGTCCTCTGTGGTATGAATGCACTGGCTCACCACCACTGCTCTAAAGGATAGTCAGATTCCTTCCTGAGAGAAAGGGACCTTATCCACTAGGGCTGCCAACAGGGCTTTCACATGTGTATCCCTCATCTCTGGGGAACAGGACCAATGTACAAGGAGAAGCAGAAACAAGCAGTTTTGAAAGCAGCAGAGGAGTCTGCTCCTTCAAACCCTTATTCTAGTCCAAAGGTAGATGGCAGACCTATGGCTCCTGTGCCACAGCGGGCTGTTTGTTGGTGCTGAAAGCTCTGAAAGGTTTGTCATCACTGTGCTGAGGTCTTGGCTTCCGCAGCTCTTCCTGAGATTATGCCAGTCACACCAGAAGCCTCATGGCATAGGATGTTCCATAGCTTTGTCCTGCAGCCCAAGTGGCCACTTCCTTCCTATCTCATGCAACTAACAATGCACATTTCATGGTGCTTACAAACAGGTGCTTTGTAGGCCGCTGTGAACCCACATACTATGTTTGTTCCCCACTTCATGTTGCCAAAGAAAGAATACCTAGAGAAATCTGACATTCAGATAAACAGCAAACAGTTTTACTGTCTTTTTTAAAATAAGCATATCCTATACAATATTTGAGTCATATAAATATACTAAAAATACTTAGGTAACTTGAATTTGATTTTTAACTGAGTATCCTGTATTTTTCTATGCTAAATCTAGTATAACACAGCTGTTTTGGAAAATTACAGATTTGACAGATTTCTGAAGTAAATTCTGATTTCAGGTTCACTAAGAAAGAATGAGAAGACCTGGAAGGACTGGTGAGTAACCGTCAAGGGTCTGGCTGCTTTTCCAGAAAGGTCACACGCTCTCCTGGCTAAAGGCCACCTCTCCTTCACACATTTACACGAACTGCCTGGTATAGACCCGGAGTCTACAGCCCTGGGAGAACATAACTATCTGCTGTTCTTTCTTTTGACACCATTCCTGGTGCCCCAGGACAAAGGACATGTTTTCAGGACACTCTGTGTTTGTGAAATGCCTATGAGACCCGAGGAGGAGGCATCTGCAGCAATCTGTCTTGCCATGGCCCTACAGTGACTTTGCTGGAATCTTCCCTGCTGCCGCCTACACCCTGAACAGCACCGAGCAGCTTCTGCTCTTTGCTAGGTCTTTACCTTTGTTGTGTTTTCTCTGCCTGAAGAAAACTTCTGAAACTCCTCACCTGCAGACCCCATGTGGACCTGCCCCAGGGCACGCCTCTGAGCTTAGCACTGTGTGCACTTCATGGCAGTGAAAGGCAGAAGCCTGCAGCCAGACAGACATCCTCATTAGGACAGACAGCCTTTCTGGGCCTCGTGTTTGACTTCTCTATACACTGACCATGGCAGTAATACCCACCTCCACGGCAAGGACTGAATGGAGTCCTAAGCAAAATGCTTATGCAGTAGTTGTGCAACAAGCACTTACTAAAATGCTTATTCCCCATCCAATTCAACATCTACCCATTGGGCCCAGTGTGCACAACTTGACTAAGCACACAGAACACAGGATACACTGTTGCTAGCCTTTAGAGGAAGGTTCAACAAACTGGAAGTGTTTACAGAGCAGCAAGTGCTACAAGTCAGGTTTTATGGCAACTGAGGTAAAGGGGCAAACTTTGGAGCTGAGAGTGGCTAGGGAGCCCTTCCTCAAGGGACCAGTACTTAAAGATGACACTTGACAGGATACAGGACAAAGTCTCCAGGAGACAGAGCAGAGGCCTTCACTATAGGGGGCGGCAGCAGTGAACCAAGAAATACTGCTCTGCCCCGGGGTTTAAACCGACACTCTGCCACCCTTCCCGCGTTACAGCACGGTACTGCCTCTCCCTACACACTGGACACCTGTTGCTATAGCTCCATCTCCTGCTCTACCTTAGGGATCACGCTGAAGGACTTAACAGACTGCTGCACTAAATATGATCTACAACTCCAACCTCTCACATTCCTTTTATTCAAGGACTGCAGTCAAAAGCACCTTGTCTGTGAAGATCTTGAGTCTGAAATTTTATGCTCACACATGCACAAAACTGGCTCTTTACGTGACAGTGCTTTAATAACACTTCCTGCAAATAAAAGTGGGTAGACAGAAAGTGCATCAAACTGTGAATCAGGGAGGGGGCACATGAAAGGCACGGAAGGAAGGAAAATATGAATCAAAAACCTACAGGAAGGTGCGGCAAAGGGGCTTCTAACACTTGATATGACTGAGCAAACCAAGCCCCTATAATTGGAAGGCAGAAAAGTATGGCAGGAAAATACAGAAGTTTTAAGCATCTGTGCGCAGAAAACACACAAGTAAGTCAGGAAGCCACTTGTGGTTTTACCCTGGAGAACTAAACCGACCAAAGCACTGACATAACTCAAAGGAGCAGCCCTGACGGCTGTCTGCCCCAGTGACCTGGCTTCTACCCATGAATGGCGAAGGTGTCGGAAAGAATTACGTAAATATTGTCCACTTAATCCTTGTAACCTTCTTTTGGGATAAACAGCCCTATTTTACAGAAACTGAGAATGATCACAGGTTAAGTAAGTCGTCCAAAATCACGAGAGTGCCGGTGGAGCCCGGGTCTTGAGCTAGGCAGACTGGCTAAAGAATCTTCTCCCTGACTGCGGCTATCACAATCAACTCTCTTTTTGGTCACTTGTATTTTTCTCTGTAACATCCTGTTAATTTCTCACAATTAGTTTCGTGTGAAACCAAAGAAAGTGGGGCAAGAGGCCCATTAACCGAGGAGCGCAGGTCTAGTCTCATATCCCAACCCCTCTATCCACAGGGCGCAGTGAGGCTTTAGGATTAGCATATATTCTACACGTAAGGAGCACCTAATGGGCACGCAATAAATTATTTTATCCTCATTGCAAAGGCAAAATTTGAGCTAAAATCTTAATGGTATTTTCGGGCAAATACACTACACTTTTTGTTCCTGAATGCAGTGCTTAAACTCAGTGTGTGCTTAAAATTCTACATGCAGTCGCTTGCACATGGCAAAACGACAAACCCAATTACGAAAAATCCAAATCCCAGACCAGACAGTGTCTACAAGGACTCGCAAGAGGTCCTAAGGCCAGAACCTGGGAAGACACCGCAGCTCTCCAATCCCACCCTTTCTCTGCCCTAAAAGCCGTTCCCCGACCCGGCCAGGCACAACCTGTCTCTCTCTGGTTCTCCGGGCAGCAGCCCAGGGAGGGCGGTCCCGTCCCAGGGCTCCCGCCGCGCGCGAACGAGCAACGGGGCCGCGCACTTCCGCCCGGCTCGCGGAGGGCGGAGCTCTGCGCACGCGCGGTGCCCTGAGGCGGCTCTGCCCGCGGCCGCCATGGAGCTGGCGTCGTGCGCCACTCACCGGGGCGCTCTCGGGAAGATTGTAACGACACAGAGTGTGGTCCAGGTCGAAGCCAACCACGTCGCAAGCGGCCAGGGAGAAGTGCTGAGCCATGGCTGCGCAGAAGTCCCGCCCAGGGTGTCCGCCGGGGACTACGCGAGGAGGGCGCGGGAGGGACGCTGCGGGGCGAGGCCGGGACGGACGCGCTGGGCGGGGCGGGCCTGGAGCTCCGCCCCCATGTGCGGGCCCCGCCCACCGCCGTAGGCCGCCCCGCCCACTCCGGCCGCCGCGGCCCGCGCCTACGAGGAGTCGGAGGTGGCTGGTACCCACGTAGGGTTCCGTGGAACCCACGTGAGTAGCCTTCCGCAAGGTTCCGGGGCAAGCTAGAGATCCCAGGTGTACCCTAATGCTGATTGCGTGCGAATCGGTGATGATGCAAGGAGTAAATACCCGCTAGCGCGTTTCCCGTGCAGCCCGCAGTTTGATAGGTCTTCTCGCCAACGTGGTTTTCTAGGGTGTGTAGGATCAGAGCTTTATTTATGCCCCATGGTTTCCTAATCCACGCCGTGAAAGGCCTACCTTTTACCGTGTCATCCCTTGGAGTGTGTTCAAGAATAACTAAACCCCGCCGAGGACCCAGCAAAGTGACACTGGTTAAAGGAACTGATCTGGGTGGTTATTTTGCACACCTAGTTCCTGTCAAGAATCGTTCTGTGAAAAGGCATCAAAGTCTTCATTAATCTACAGAACGTAGTAGGGAAGAAAACTCGCTGTACAAGGTGTTTGAAGTCCACGCTGACTGTACGTAATGTTTCCCCTCCTTGTGCGGCGTGGGCACCTGGAGCGGCAGAGAAACCAGAGGTTTTAAGGGTTAGCAGAAAGTAACTTGAGAGTTCCTGAGTTCCTTCGGAACTGTATGGCCAGTGTCCTCTTAGATACAGAGGGAAGGAGTTAATGCCTTCCATGTAGGGGACTTCAAAATCCACTACCTTCTCTGAGCAAACCCCGGGATGTGAACAGCTAGCTTGCTATGATTTTACTATAAAGTTCCTCATTTAAAAGAAAAAAATACAAGTTATTATCTTTATGCTGCTTCTCTTTTAAATGTAAGAAAACACTTGTGTCCAATGGTTAAAAAAAAAAATCAATAGTCACGACATGATGAAAAAGTAATGCACTGAGAATTACATTTAACCCTCACGGATACTAACTGGAAAGGTTAATAGACCAAGGGATTAATTTAGTACAATGGATCATGCAATCGGGTGTGACCCTCACAATACCTAGTGGACTCATTGGAGTAAATTGATAACTTATTCTGCCATAACCCTTAAAAGCCCCAAACAAATCTCTCTGGAATAGGAACAGGAAAGAATCCGCAAGAAGATTGAGCTGTGCACTGATTGGATCCTGACAACCACAACCACTTCCTCACTGTCTGGGGAAGGGGGATAGCGCTGGTCTTGGGGTCCTCTTTGCCCTCTGTTACGGGGTCCTTAGCAACATCAGACTTCCAGATGGGCCACACTTTGAAGGCCCTAGTCTTCCTGGAGGATATTTGATTGTGGTAATAGGCACTTTGAGATTTTCTTAATCAAATGGACATTTATCTCTTAGTACTAGAGATAAATATTCATTGCCAGGAGGAAAAGTGGGACTACAAAAGGTTTGTTCTTTGCAGCTTAACAAGAACTTCCTTTCATACCACCCCACCCGCTGTGTACTGAACTGGGGATTGAAAATTATTTTTCTAGGGGGTGGTCACCTCTCAAGGAAAAGATCCTTTGGTTTGTAGCCAGGTGGTCCTTGTAAATGATGTGGGCTGGAGCATTACACGCATTCATCAGCAGTCTCTCCTGCTTACTGAATAGCATCTCTTATATCCCTTGTATTTATGTCCACCCAAAGGGTCCCTGTGCTGGACTCCACTTACACTTGGTAGGAGAATTTTGTACATTGTCCAATATTATTCTTGGGGAAGATCATACTCATGATGAGCTCCAGAAAACTTTTCCTATCTGCTTTTCTCAAGTGTCAGCCCAACACCTCCAGGAAGTTTCCCCTTTTGTCCCTACTCCCTACAAAACCTGCGGTTACATATAGTATTTACCTTGTTTCGAAAATCTTATTTTCAAACAAAAGTGTTTTCCTTGCACCTTAGTCTTTGACCATACTTTATAAAGTGCCACATTTTTTCTGTTGTCAGTGATAAGTTCAATCTTCAACTCAGATACAGATTAATTTCTCTGATTGATAGGATGACTATATTAGTGTTATGGAGTGAATCGTGTCTCTACCAATTATAGGTTGAAGGCCTGATGCTAAGTGTTTGAAAATAAGTTCTTTGGGGAGATAATTTAGGTTAAATAAGGTCGAAAGAGTGTATCTGTTTTTGGATAGGATTTAGTGTCCTGTAAGAGAAAGAGATACCAGAGGCCTCAAGCACCAAAGACCATGTGAGGGCACAGTAAGAAGACAGCTGTCTACAACCCGAGGAGAGAGACTCCGAGTCAGCCAACTCTGGTGACACCCGGGTCTGCAACTTCCAGCCTCCCAAAACTGGGACAAAAGTTTTATTGTTATTGTTAGAAGCCACCCAGTCTATGGTATTGTATTAGCATGATTAGTTCCAACAGGCTATAATGAGATTTGACTCTAATCTACATTGTTGTAGATGTAACATAATAGATGTAACCATAATATTCTAGATGTAACCATAATATTCACCATCTGAGAGATGCCCAAGCATTATGAATTTTGGATTATATTATTTAAATTTAGTTACTTTTACTTATATGTAATATTAATACCATGCTGTGAAATTTAGTGTTTTTTACGTATTCCGTTTACTGAGTTTTATAAATGCATAGATATTACGTAGGACCACCCAGAAATGTTATAATATTGTTGATTTCTAGATCTGAATTTTGTTATTACAACATATGTGCCTTTTCATAAAGACATTACTATAGTGACTTTAGTTTTAGACATGATTTATTTATCTAAATAATAACTTTGTGATCAATTAGTTTAAATTTTAGACACCAAAATAACTCATTGAATAGCTTTTTGTGGCTCATAATACTGCATTTTAACATCTTCACTGCACATATTTGTCGAACTTTTTTGTTCATTTGTTTGTTTTTGAGACAGAGTGTTGCTATGTAGTCCAGGCAGGCTTCAAACTAGCAGCGATCCTCCTGCTTCAGTCTCTCAAGTGCTAGGATTACAGGTATGCATCACTGTGCCTATTTTGGAAGAATTTAAAGAACATTTTTAAAAATTCTTCATAAACATTGGAATGTTCAATTTTTTATATAACCCACAATAATACCTATATTGCTTGCACATATTATTTGTTTAAAGGGTAAGCATAAAATTTATTAATACCTATATTTCTTGCACATATTATTTGTTTAAAGGGTAAGCATAAAATTTATTTAGTAATTTGAAATTATACAAATGCCTAAAAATTAATCTCTACAATACTTAAATATCAATTGATCTGAGAAAGGAAAACAAAAACTGATTTGTAATACTGTGTGAGGCCTTTAGATGGCAGTGGTCCTGCATTAGTAAAATTTTCACTTGATTTCTTTGTAATGTTTAAAATCTTTTCAATTTCTCAATAAAAACACTTCACTTTCTGGTCTCTTCTGCTCTTGGCACAAGAAGAGAGGCCTTCTTACAAGTTTCTCTGTATTTTTTGAGTCTGTGATGGTTTTTATTTTTGATGGGGGAGAGGATGTAATGGGCTGAAATCCTTTGAGAGAAAACTTACAAACTTCTATGTGAATAAAGAACCAGATATTTAAAATTTGAAGTGAGTTCCCTTGGAGAGAAGGCTAATACTTTAACTGGCGGAGTTATGATTCGAGCAGACCTCAAATGATGTGAGGGATGGATAGAAATTTAATTAAGATGCTAGGTTTCTTATAAGTTCAAATATTAGATTCACCACTCTGTTGGAGGGGCCTCATTCACTAGCAGCCAACTCAGAAATAAAATGCAGACACAGTGAGGGTAAACTCAGTGTCTCTTTGGTTGTCAGTCACTTCCTAGTACTTCCTTTGAGTTTGGCTTTTAAAAGCAGGAGACTTCAAAATTCCAGGATGGTTAACCACATATTGTCAGGATTTTGTTCCTTAATGGGATCCATACACATGACTCTTCCCCGATTGTTTTTGATTACGTTTTACCACACTGGGCATATCAGTAATCATCTTTGCAGTGTGGCAGAATAATATTCACAAAGCTCATTACTGTGTACCCCATCCCCTTTTCCTGAACCTTTCCTGCCTGAGAAGACATAGAATACCCAGTTATATTTGAATGTTCCAGATATTGCATGGGACGTACTAATATTGTTTTTTATTTGAAATTCAAATTTAACTTGACATCATGAACTTTAGAGAATGTAGTTGCTAAATCTAACAACTCTGCCAGTGGCATTGTACTCTGTATTTTAAAATGAACTTAAAAATTTTGTTCTAATGAGTTTCATTTTCTTCCAGAAAGCCTAGAACTTGAAAATCAAATATTATAAGATGAATAGCCCCTCTGAATTCATATGTTAAAACTGTAATCTTTTGTATTTCACCATGGGATCATCCTTAGAGATGGGGTCTTTGAAGAAGGGGTCAAGCTAAAATGAAGATTGATGGTGAGTTGAATCCAGTATGACTGGTGCTCTTAGAAGAGGAAATTTTGACATGCAAGAGTACCACAAAGTTGCTCCGGAAGAGACCTTGTGGGGAGACAGGAGGAAAAGTTAGAGGACGCAGTGCAAATTGCCATCAACAATACAGGACAGGCTTCAAAAGAAACCAACTCTACAGACACCTTGAACTTCTAGCGTCAGAATTATGAGTGTAGTTTTCTGTTAATTAAACAATTGTCATGAAAGCTCTGGAAGACTAAAGCAGCCTTTGAGATTATTTCTGTTATAAGAAGAGTCTGGAGTCTATTCCAGAACATAAAACCAAGACTTTTCTCTCTTTTCTGCTATAGAAAGTCTTCCTTTGGAGGCTGGGCTGAGAAGAAACTATTGCTGGTTTCTGAATGGTGAGGAAATTTGATCAAACGAGTGTCAACAGATACCTTAGTATACTGGTACAGACAAAATCCTCAAATGAGACAGAGTGGAAACACTTTGTCAGGCCTTCTTATCTAAGAATCTGTGTTCCCTCAGGATGTGGAAAATCTGAGAAGCGCTTGGAGTCTGATTAGCATCTTGGTGCTGTTTTTGTCACTTTGCTCTTTGCTTTAGACCCAGTACCTGCAGCGAGCAGGAGGAAAGATTTTTCTTGCCTCATGTTTGAGACCGTAGCTGGTTGGCTCCAAGGCAGGACTGCACAGGAGGGGGACATTGGAGAGGGGAGCTGCTCACCAGGGCGCAGGGGACAAGGACCCCGAGACTGAAGGGAGAGTGGTGAAGAGGTACATCCTTCTGGGCCACGCCGCTCAGACCTGCCTCTTTTGGACAGGCCTCACCTCCCGAGGTCACCTTTAGCTGTAAATCCGCAGTGGTCTAGTCCACTGATGAGTGTCAGGGTTCCAAGATCCAGTCACCCTCCAGAAACCCGGTCTATGAGTGCATAGCGTGTGAGAGGGAACATCTAGAGCCAAAGAATCATGGCAGCACATAATATATGAGCAGATACGGTTCTTACAGATAATGGTTGTACTTCCCCCTTATTTCCTTTCTTTCTTCCATCCTTCTTTCCTTCCCTTTGTTTTTTACTTCTTCCTTCCCTTCTCTCCCTTAATCGTTCTTTTTTTTCCAGTAGCATACTGAGATTAAACCCAGGGCCTTCCAACATCCTCCTCTCACACACCTCCCCCCTTTATTTCCACTTTGAAACAAGTTCTCACTACATTGCCCAGATGGGTTTGAACTTGCCATCCTCCTGCTTCTGCCTCTATCTCTGAGTGCTAGGAGGACAGATGCACGCCACCATGCCCAGATCCCATTTATTTCTTGATTCCAACTTTTCAAATATTTATGTTAAGACAAAGTTTTGAGTCTTCAAGGGCATCTGAACATGAACCTATTTCAGGAATCTCTTAGAAACTCTCATCAGAGACTTTCCCTGGCTCACACTTGGGTCTATAACTTTGTTGTTCTCAGACCCCATGAATAGTGTGTTTACTTTCATGATTTAAATATCTGAATGTCCCCACGGAGGGTGAGCTGTATTAAAACATCAATCAGTCCTTCATTTATAACTTCTCAGAAGTTTTCAGATATTATTCTGGGTTTGCCTGCTTTGAGTATGAAAATCCCATTTACAATATTACCAAAGTTGAGAAATTGAACTTAGTTGATAATATATAAAAAGAAGCCTTGAACTACAACCTCAAATGTTAGTTGAAAATTTACAAACTCTGTACTACATCTGTAGTATACAATTATATTCATGAACATATGCAGCAAAATAAAAAGTGCTAGGTTGTGGTTTGTTTTTTGTTTAATCACTTTTCCCCCACTTCCTTGTCCTTAAGAAACTATTGAAAGCTATTACGGTAAGAGAATGCTCTTTGACCGAATATTCTCTTCTTCCTGACTCAGCTGGTTTTATGATTCTTATCTCGTACCATAGTGTACAGAAACATTCAGTTCTTACGCTTATTCCCTTGCTCTGGTTTGCAGACAACTTATAATTATTCAAAGTTAATTTGAACACTGCATCTTTCTTATGGCAAGGTTGCTCTAAAAGCAGAGCCTGAGACAAGGACTTGGTTACAGGTGACATATTTGGAGATGAGCCCAGGAATCAGCAACAAAGAAATAGCGTGAGAGAAAAAGCCAGCAACGCTACAGAAGGGCAATCTTGAGGTCGCTGTTGTAAGAAACAGTGGCTAAATGCAGACACAGTTAATTTTGTATAAACCTGAGATCTTTGTCTTTCAAACTTTGGCTAATACTGTGAATGGAACTTTCATGCTCAAAGCAGACAAACCCAGAACAATATCTGAAAAAACTCTTGAGAATTTATAAACAAAGGACTGATTGGTACTTTAATTTGGGTACAAAAGGAGAATTTAAGAGAATTTTTATTAGAAATAATAATAAGAAAAAAGCTCTTGGTGTATACTCACCAGGAAGACAAAGAAGCCAGCATGCTTTCTTTGTGTTGGCCTTATATAGATAAGTTCTGTGTGTGTGTGTGTGTGTGTGTGTGTGGGTGTGTGTGGGTGTGTGTATGGTGTTTCAAAGGAAATAGTTGAATGAAGTCCAGGTCAAGAGTAGAGATTATCAATTCATTTAATATGTTCTTCCTGGGAGGCATAGTTATCTCTCTCTCTATTGTAGCTTATCCTTCTGGTGTACACTCTGGCATCTCTAAACTTGGCTTGGCTGTTTGAATAGGCTCTTCACTTGAGTGGGCTATTTTATCTGACCCTAGACCCTATTGTTAGGCTTCTCTGACTGCCTACAGTACTCGTAATAACTAAACTAGACTAGACTAGACTAGACTAGACTAGACTAGACTAGACTAGACTATCACAATACTGCCAAAAGTATCTGACACACAAAGGATGCTTCTCAGATTATCCACTGGAAGCAGGAGAGGCTATTTACCCTCTTGTTTCTGACATGTCATGGTTGGGGAATGATGGTTATTATGACTTTGGGTCCCTGTGGTCTCAGAGAAGCTCTTGGAGGACTTTGCAGAGCTCTCTAGGAGTAGGTTTCTGCTAGTGTGCTAAGCGTCCAGTCTTGTGCAAAGGACCACAAATGAACTGCTGTTGAAATCGGAATCAGGTTGAGGGAATGTGGTGTGGAGCACCAGTGTCATCTGTCAGGTTAGCCATGCCCATAAAAGCTTAAATCATGTCAGAATAATTTGCAGAATTTATTTCCCTCTGTAAGGATTTATCTGCACATGGTGTACCCATCTGTTGGTCAGACTGTCTCCAGTGGTTATTCCTCTACTTCTTTCTGTTGCATCTGTGATCTACTCTGTATTCTGTGCTCTAATGAGAAGTAGTAATCTTGATGGAAATGACCATTAATGTCTTAGGACAGTGACTTCTAAATGCATTCACAGCATGGCTTACATAGAAACCAATGATGTTTATTTAATGTGCTGGGGCAGAAAGGAAAAACTGGCCCAGGTAAGTGGGGCAACCAGGACTGATGAAGTTCTGAGTTTCCTCTGAGATCCTTGGTGAGGGGTTGATTAGAATTTCAGCACAAATAGAATTAAATTTGTTCTGGACCTGTTGGGTTAAGCGTTCTATGGAGTCAGCTTTTTTTTGTTTTGTTTTGTTTTCCTTTTTAAATACTAGCAAACTCTTGGCTATGTACATTGTAAGAAGTAATTCATAGTCCAATTTATAAGTGTTTATTGAGAATCTATTGTGTGCTAGGTACTGTGATAGCTATCAAAATACAAAAAAGTAGTCAAAATGGATGTTTCACGAGAAGGAAATTTCTGTGTGGTTTAAAGAAGATAATGATAAGGACAATACAACACTGTACATAAAGTACAAAAAATTAATCTGACAGGTATTCTGCACTTGATGTTGTGCTTTCTGCTAAAAATATTTTTTCTGCTTTTATTTCCTGATTTTAATTCCCACGCAGGCTATCTCTCATGTTACCTGTAGAAATCACTGCAGGTCTTTTGTGTAGCTGCAGGAAGCTAAACTAACTTTCCTTTCAGTTATTCCATTACAATCACTTTAATGCCAACTTTCTTCAGTAGCATCAAGTTATTTCAGACTAGCACGCGTCTTGTTCATCTTCACACCTCAGTTCCTCCCCACACAACCTGACAAACAATGCCCAGCAAATCAATGGGTTCCCATTTCTTAATTTCTGATTTCCATACTGTGAAGTTTTAAATGACTGTTAGGAGGCCTTTACTGCGGGGCAGGAGGTGCTGTTTCCTGAAACTCTGACTCTCATGTCCTGATAATCAATCAGGACTCACATGTTGCAGATTTATAACAAAGATTAGGTGACTTAGAGCCATAGCAACAGGAAATACTCTGCTCACCATTCATTTTTAGTTCTGTTGAGTTCTAGTATGAATGCTTTGGCTATTAACCTTCATTTTGCCCTCTGGTAGGTGCTTCCCTGCTCACACACACTCCTCATAGGCAGGCTGTATGAATAATTACAGGATAAAGATGGCCTGGCTAGCATCTTGGTAATCCCAAAATGATTTTACCTAGCAACACTTACTTCTTTTTGTGGTCCTAGAAGTTCAACTCAGGACCTAACACTTGCTAGTCAGTCACTTGTGCTACTGAGTTATATTCCTAGTTCCAGTACTGACTTTTAAAAATGCATTCTATAAAAATATTTATGTTAATAGTTTGGGTTTATATATTTTATTGTGTCTCAGCATTTCCTTTGTTTCTGTTAGCAGATTTTACCCATACTGAAATAATGCTGCCTATTAAACTATGTTTACTGTGTCTACTGAATCTTCAAAAATAGTTTTTAACATTCTGCAATCTATTGTTTTTCCTAAAGCCATGTTTAAAAAATATCATGTGAGCATGTAAATATTTTAAATGATAATGGCTGAATAAATGCTGCAAGTAGCTCACATAGGTGTTAATATATGCATAATTTTCATTAGTATTATATGGCAATTACCTAGATAAGCTATATGATAGCTTTTTAAATCCATTTTTCTTTCTTTTTCTTCCTCAAATATGAAAGTAGTGCAAGAAAAGTATATAAATGCTACAGAATCTCTGCACTTATGATTGTGTACCCTTCTCTGCTCCTATCTCATGTTCTGTGGTGTAAATTGTCCAATATTATTCTTGTGGAAGTTCACGCTCATTGTGAACTTTCTTTTTCATATTTTGAAAAAAATTTAAAAAGCAATGATACAGAATTTCAAAACAAGATAATAGGAGATTAACAATGGTTAATATATTGTAAAATATTGTTATCTTAAAAGTAGTTGCTCAGATTATAAGATAAAGACATGAGAAACTGAACAATGTACATACAAACCAGTTTTTCAATGTAGTAATAGAGATTAGTATTGTAGTTATTCTATCATACAGACACACACAAAAACACACACAACACAAACACACATTTGTATCCCTTCTCTTTTCTCCTTTCCTCCATCCCAGTTCTTTCGTTTTGAGAAGTTTCTTCCACTTTTCCTTTCTTTTTTTTTTTTCTTTTCCCTTATTATCGGTACCGGGGATCGAACTCACGACTGCCTGCTTGCAAGGCAGGCGCTTATGCCGCTGAGCTAAATCTCCAGCCCCCCCCTCCCCCACTTTCCTTTTCACAATATCTGTTATACATTTTGAATCTTATTTACTCTGTTTTTTACACCACAAAGACAATACGATATTTACATATGCATATCTGATTTATTTCACTTATGAGTATTGTCTCAAGTTGCATCTATTTACCCATAAAAGCCTCGAGTTCATCCTACTTTATAGCTGAGTACTCTGTTGTATAACAACACCACATCTTTTTTATCCATTCCTTGGTTGATGGGCATGTGGATTGTTTCCATGATTTGGCTATTATAAATTGTACTGCTATAAACATGGGTGCATATATATCATTGTGGTATGTTGTTTTAAATTCTTCTGAGAAAATACTCAGAAGTGGAATAGCTGAGTAGAATGGGACCTCCAATCCTAGTTTTTTGAGGAATCTCCACACTGATTTCCACAGTAGTTTCATTAGTTATACTCCCACCAACAGTGGAGAAAGATTCCTTTTTCCCCACAGCCCTTCCAGCATTTGGTATTGATTTCTTGATGACAGCCATTCTTTCTGGAGTGAGATGGTATCTCAGTATTGTTTTAATTTGCACTTCTTGAGTGACCAGTGATATTGAAGGTTTTTCATATATTTGTTTGCCATTTGTATTTCTTCATCTGAGAAGTGTGTCTGCATCTCAGATGTCCTTTTTTTCTTTTGGTATCGAGGATGGAACTCATGACCTCCTGCTTGCCAGGCAGGTGCTTATGCTACATCCCTGGCCCAAAGATGCTCATTTTAGGATTGGGCCTTTAAATTTGGGAGGTCTGATTTTTTTAGTTCTTTTTTTTAATTTAAAAAAATTTAAAGAGAATGAAACAAAACAAACAAACAAAGCAAAGTAGAACAGAACAAAACAACACAAGACTTCAAAAAAGACAATAGGAAATCACCAGCGTCTATCATAATGTCTCTTGTTCAAAATAGTTGTCTACACTTTCACACACAATAAAATCAAGCAAAACACAATAGCATTAAAACAGAAGAATGAGCATTGTGTATTATATTGGTTTTATTTATTACATTATTTATGGATGACTGTTTTGAAGAAAATGAAGCATTATAGTAACTATTGTTCATTTCCTGTTACCTGGTTTTGAAGTCTTGTAATGCTTTTATTCTTTTGATTAGTTTTAGTCTGTTTTTGAGTTCTTTACATGTTCTCAAATCCATCAGGACCTGCCCTCTTCTTTGTTGGTGCAATTTAAATTATGTTTTCAATTTCATTAACTGATACTGGGTTACTCAGCAGTTTTATATCTTCTTGATCTGGTTTGGGTAGTTCATATATTTCTAGGAATCTGTCATTTCTTCTGTGTTTTCCAGCCTATGTGAGTAACAATTTTCAAAGTAAGTATTGATCTTCTGAATTTCCACAGGATGTATCATGATTTCACCCTTTTCATTCCTCAGTGCATGAATTTGAGGTTTTTCTTTCTTTCTTTCTTTTTTTTTTATGTTGGTTAGGGGTTCATCAATTTTGTTTATCCTTATCAAGGACCAACTCTTTGATTCATTAATTCTTTATTATTGTTTTCTTAGTCTCTGTTGCATTAATTTCTGTTCTGATCTTTGTAATTTCTTCCATTTTATGGGCTTTGTGCCTAACTGCTCTTCTTTTTCTGGAGCTCAAGGCGCAGCATTATATTGTTTATTTGTGTTCTTTCTGTCTTCCTAATGTGAGAATTCACATTCAAAATTTCCCTCTTAGCTTACTTCATTGTGCCTCACATGTCCTGATATATTTGCATTTCCATCTCACTGATAATATTGTTTAATTTCTTCTTCAATTACGTCTGTGACCTATTGGTTGTTCAGGAGGGTGTTATTTAATTTCCATGTGTTTATGAAGTTTTTGTGATTTCTTTTATGTTAATTTCCAATTTCAGTGCACTATGGTCA